GTGGACTTTCTGTTGATGTATCTGGTTTTATTTTGATATGTTTGTTCTCTTGTCGTAAGTTTTACTTCCTGTCTGTCTCGTTGCTTGTTTGCCCCTCCCTGATGTGCTACACCTGTGTCTACCTGTGTGTATTTAGACCCTGTGCTCCTGTCCTCTTGTTGTCGGTTCATTGTTGTTTTTCCCCCCATGTCTTGTTCCTGGTTTCAGTTATACTTTTTGTGGTGTTTATTAAATTATATTATTTTTGCAGTTCTGCTTTTGGGTCCTTCCTTGTTTACCCGTGACAGAATGAACTGACCATTATTGGACTCCGCAGACTGCTTTTCTTTTTTACCCACACCTTGATAATTTTTCTGGACCTCATCTCTGCCAAGGTCATCTTGCCTACATGCCTTCTGCTAGTGATGGGAATATGAAGCCCCATGATGCATTGAGGGTTTGCAGCCTATTACTCGGCCCATGGTTCGAAGGCTCGAGGTGAATCATGCTCCACTACGCCATCATGTGGACAAAAAAATACATAACACTCTTAAGTGCTTACAATGAATGGTGAGATTTAATGTTAAAATTTATATTTACAATCTATGGTCTAACGTGTTGTGTTTGAAATGATGCTTCATGAACTATGAACTATTTGAGTCTTTCAGTCAATTGTGTTGTTACAACAAACACATCCAAAGTAATACAGTTCTACAGAAAGTGATTAATTGAGGAAAAACTACCAAGAGGTGGATTAATTAAACACAACAAACCATTTATTCCCAATAAATAAATACATTTACTTTGCAACACAAAATTTATTATGGGTAGACTGGGATTCGAACGCTATATCTTCTACTTCGGAGTCCGTCATAGACCGACTGCGCCACACAGCTGTTGTGAGATGTATTATCCAGCGTATTATTACTACTAACTTGAAGCCTTGATATATGAGGTTTTACTAAAGTGAAACGTTTTTAATTGTATTTCATATGAAGTTGTTTCTCTATACTTAGAACAGGACTGCTCCACATCACGCACACACACGTACGCACAAACACACGTACGCACACAGAGGCAGACGGGGACAGCCAATACAGTCTATGGTACAGCCGCGGATCACAAAGCACCTGTCAAAGCAATGCACTCTCCGAACTATATGAAGCACTATATGAACTGTCACGCGAGGCTTCGAACGTCACCACATACGTCACCAACACACGCCTCGAACCACGCTTCAAAAAATACGCCCCTTTTTTACTCGGTACACGCTTCGAAGACCCGGCACGCTCAGCACATCACTACCTTCTGCCAGTTGTGGACCTCACCTTGAACCACCGCCAGATAAGAATTCCATCTGGGGTGGTCTCCTGTTTTTCCCTCGGAGCCACTGCCGGGCATTTTGTCTCCGCCTGGGGTGGTTCCCTTTGCTCCTGTCCTGACCTGGAGGTCTACACTGGGTTCCAGCTCCTGCGTGTTCCTTGTCCCTGACCTGAGATGCTGGCCGTACCTCTCCCACCATCAGGTTTTGTGCATTTTTTTTCTCGTCTGCTCCCCACTGATGACCTCTCTACCTCCGATTTGTGACCACCGCCAGACTATAGTCTCCGTCTGGGATGGTCGTCTTCTGCTTCTGACTCTGTGCCACCGCTGGACATTGTTTTCCGTCCGGGGTGGTCTCCTGTGCCCTGTTCTTCGAGAGAGGTCTACTCTGGGTTCCAGTACGTCCTCCTCCTGACTCCCTCTGCCCTCCTGGGATAGTTTTTTTGTTTTTTGGACATCTGGGACATCTGTCCTAGAAGGGGGGGTACTGTCATGGTGTGGACTTTCTGTTGATGTATCTGGTTTTATTTTGATATGTTTGTTCTCTTGTCGTAAGTTTTACTTCCTGTCTGTCTCGTTGCTTGTTTGCCCCTCCCTGATGTGCTACACCTGTGTCTACCTGTGTGTATTTAGATCCTGTGCTCCTGTCCTCTTGTTGTCGGTTCATTGTTGTTTTTCCCCCATGTCTTGTTCCTGGTTTCAGTTATACTTTTTGTGGTGTTTATTAAATTATATTATTTTTGCAGTTCTGCTTTTGGGTCCTTCCTTGTTTACCCGTGACACATCTACAGAAATCCCATCTTTGCAGTAGTCACTGTATCCTTAGTTCTGTTAAGTTATGTCTGCTGCATTTGACAAATCCTTTGCTGCCGCTAGGGCCTCTGTAAGGAGCCCTGGTCGCCGTTATTGGTCTGGAGGACAAAATTGAAGAACCACCTTGTTACATCTTCAAAAAAAAAGTTTACTTGGTCCAATTTAAGTGGATTGAACCATCATTGAAGTTAGCTTTGTAACTCTGGGTCTGTGTACATTTTTCAAGATTCATATAATCAGGGGTTAAGCCAGACCACTCCACCCAGTCTAGTCTTAACCTGAAGATTGTTTGATTTTTTTACATAGATCATCAAAACTCAACAATGCAACCTCCTGGGAGTGGTTATGACATTTTTACTCCTCTCTGTCAAGTTTTCAAACCACTACGAACGGCATGTACTGTATGTTCTTTCCATTTCCCAAGCTGCTCCTAAAGGCAGCGCCCAACCTAAACATTTCACTCATGAGTTGAAATGCTATCGTTTCTCATTTGCGGGAATAATCCGGCCCACCTGGCAGCTCATCTCAGAAACGGGATGCTGATTAAAGAGCGTAATAATTACACAGGTGTGACTTGGATTAGTCCCAAAAGACCGGGGGGGGAATGGAGATCAACAGAAAGCTTATCGTTGGATTAATACAACATTGTTACCGAGTTATAAAGAGCAAACATTGATCATTTTTTGATTAGAACATCGAATGACATCTTTACAAATAAATGTGCAGGTTATTTTTTCTAACCTTGCCTGCAAGCTGAATTCTCGCGGTATTTGTGAGTTCACAAACACTCGAGAATACATCTTGTACCGCTCCCGCCAACCCTTTTCGAGTCGAACCACTGGGTGTGCGAGCCAATCACGCGCCAGTCTGGGGGTTTAGGGCGGGATATCCGGGTTTGACGAAAGCAAGAAGTGCCGGGCCGAAGCAAAACAAACATGGCTACGCAGGAGGACGGACGCAAAGTCAGTTTTAGCAGAATCTCCAATTTCTTTTTTGAAAGATGAACAGCGAGAGGCGCTTTGTACATTTCTGGACGGCAACCTTGGTAGGCGGGCACACAGCGTCACTTCGCCCAATCAGCTTCAAGTATTCTGCTGCTTACCCCTCCTTTCCCCGAAAGGATTCTCCGGGAGAAATCCCAGATTGATATCGCGGAGAACGCGTTAGAGTTCTACACAATCATCAATCTGGCTTTTGCCAGGTTATATTTTTTCATCTGTGTATCAGGAGACGTATCATTTGTTTATGTTTAATCTTTCAGTATGGTTGGTGTAATACAGACGATTGTGGTATTATTATTGATGCACCGTAAAGGAATTTTCAAAAGATTACCGATGTTATGTCGTCGTTTGTCGCTGATAACCGAAAATGGAAATCCGATAAAGTGTTATATATTTTAAATGAACCTTATTTAGTTTGTTTTATGTGTGCTTTTGCAAATGGGGGCGGGGCTAAGGAATACTGGAATGACCAGAGCAAAGGGGAAAACTCTGGGAGTGGTAAAGTATTTCAACCTTTATTGGGTGATAATTACTGTGCATCCCCAGTGAATATAGTTATTTATAGATATGATAGACACTAAGAAATGGAATCCCTTTTTTTGGCAGAAAAAAAAAGCAATCAGGAAAATACAGAGAGAAAACACAATGAAGGAGATATTAAGTATAAAAAAGTTTTCATTAATTTATAGATTTCATTAAGGCGCACTGTGCACTACTATTTACAGTAAGAAAGTTGAGGGTTTCCAAAGGGCACAGCTGCACTTTCAGTTACCTTTGGGACTTCTGGACTCAAACATGCATTTGCTTGACAACGCTATACGATCTAAACAATAAAGAAAACAAAATATATAGTTGAGTGTTGAGAAATGCAACGCTTCAGATTAGTGCCATTACACATCTGTTTTTGTAGTTTCAATGTTTTGCTTTTAAACATTAACTTTGATTTATAACTTACTATGGGGAGAAATCTAAAGTTAGAAATAAGGTTTATGACTTTCAAAGCTGTTTTTATTTGTTAAAGACAACATTATATGCCTTAGTAACTTTATGTTTTATTATTTATTTCAAGTACCCTGTTAAATTGTACACCCATTTCATTCATGTGTTTATTTATTTCAAGCCTTTAAATGTGAATCATCCATCCATACAACAAACATGCACACATACATGAACATATAAGAGGAAATACCAATTCAAAAAAATACATAAAAGTACAGATTTCTTCAAGCTGGGATGTTGCGTAGAAGCATAGACCATAGAAGGAGTGGACTAACGCCTTAATGAGAAAGAAGCTGATCAGGACAGTGGCCATATGGGTTAGTTTTGGAGTAAATTCCTTTTATGGGTATTCGTGATGCTGGGGTGAGTGAGGCACCGTAGCAGGAACTCATGTTAACAAACAAGTTTCTCACATGGTTTTCCAAGTTGTTGTTTACCCTATCTATTGAAGGCTCTTGATTGGTCAATCTCCAAATCAAACTAAAACACCAGGATCATAGAGAGTGCTATAAAGCATACTTTGCTAAGCCAAATATTATGAGTGTGACTGCACAATTACTGAGCTAGTGGAATTTACTTTTAATGGGAGTCAAAGCGAGAAGGAGAAAAACTTTGTCCATGAGCACTTCCCTAAGGGGCTTCATTGAGCGAGCGAGTTAGCATTGTCCATCAATATACAGTCTATACATAGTTTTCTGTAGCTCTTAATTTAACCTAATTTAAGGTTTATTTATGTTAACAAAACCAATAAGAGAAAAATCACACACACACCCACTCCAAATTATTGTGGATACAGTAATTGGCTCATGCAGTTGCGATAAAGTCTAATAAGCATAGATAGACATGACTTTTGTCTTACCATCTTGCTTGTTTGTCTTTCCGCAGATAAGGTGTCTCATTTCTCTCGGCTCGGAGACGTGGAGGTGAACGCCGGGCAGAACGCCTCCTTCCAGTGTGTGGCCACAGGCAAAGTGACCGAGTCGGAGCCCTTTCTCCTGGAGGTGAGAATCGTAGGCACCATTGTGGATGTGTTTTTCTTTTTGTGTCTGCACCTGAGGCAGACGAGAAATAGTGAGGAGGTACAATAGCGTGGCATCTTGGACATATGGTACAGCTCACGGTACAAGCCAACACACTATAGAGCTAGTGGAGGCTGACCGTGACCAAAAAATCAATGTCTTTAGTTTAGCGTCATAGTGCACCAAAGCAAATTCCTTCTTGTTATTTACATTAGCAATAGAAAATATTTGGATTTGGATTCTAATAATGATATTCAGACCATATTTCAGAGATCCATCATATTTGTTTCCAAAATACAGCTTTGTTTTTTAAAATTGGTCATTTAACGAATTAGCTTAGAGGGTCTGAAAAAGCTGATCAGAAGACAGACATAATGTAGGCTTGTGAAAACTGAGCGAACTGGAGAGAGAGGTTTGAGTTCATTGTTTGTGGTTTCAAAGGGAGGTTTCCGAGTTTTAAGTAGAGTAGAAAAACTGTTATTTATATTCTGTTTACATACTACAATAATACAATAATGAATGTGTCGTTGCCCAGCGAGCCAACATGACCATCAAAAAACCTCGTAAATACAGTAGTAGCAATCAGTAATGTACGTCTAGGTGCTACATGCCAAACGTCCATTTACAAGTAGAAGCAGCTATATTCAGACTGTGTGGAGGCATTTCACATGCACAAGGCCCCCGAGGGGAAGCTAACCTACAGCTAACCCCATCACATCCCGCTGCTATTGTTTTCAACCCACACTGGTGACACCAAGTCGGAACAGAACAGAAATCTCACACATACACATGCCGACGCTCAGCTCAGCCAGATCCAGTCCACAGCGAGAAGCTCGGAGAAAGCTGCGGGCTGACAAAATGTGGCAAGAGAAAATGCACCTGCGAGTTATGTTCAATATTAAAGCTAACGGCTCAAGGCTGTTGTGGTCCTCTACCTATGCGGGGGAATAACAAGTGGGATGCAGCAGCATATGGGGGGATGCGAGAAATGGGGACACAATGTTTTTGAAAGTTTGCATATATACATTTTTTATCAAAATTGTGTGTTACTAGTTGCCAAATGGAGAATAACTTTTTAAAGGAGATGTATTATGCAAAAGGTTTTTCTAATTCAAATCAATTCAATACAATGTATTCCTCTGTAGCCCTAAATCACAACAGAGGACTTTACAAAATGGAAATTTGCCAACAAAGATTAGAGAATCAAACAGTTCAAGAAATGAAATTATAAAAAAACACAAAGAGCCATTTGCCCATAAGGGGCAAATGACTAATGTCCAAAAATGTCGCTAAAATGTTGAGTGGCCCAGATCATCACCACTGTCCTAAAACCGCATCTGCAAGGAAAGTGCATCGGCAAGGAGAGTGCACTAAAATTTAGTCAGATAAAGGCGGCAGCATGTTGTGGTCTCCTTTGTTGACACAACGTTGCTTGGACAAGACTCTTTCTTTTAACAAAATATGAAACAAAAATGTATCAATGAAGTAAGAGGATAAACATCCGCGACACAGACTTGAAGACACTTGCACCTCCAAATAGTTACTCATGTTTGGTACTATTAGATAAGGCCGCATACAAATAATTCAATGACGAAAGGGCTCTTCTCAGGTCAGCATCCAGTGGGGCTTTTGACATTTGACAGATGGAAGCGCAGAGTACCAGGCCGTTGGAAAAGTATGCATCCAGCCGCTAACAAGGACACACTCTCTCACATGTGCCGCTTCCATTAGTCAAAGCAGGCATGGCATTTTCAAACCTCCACACACACATATGAGTAATGATCCTTTGTGCTGATCCCTTTCTTAATATCAAAACTGTGGTGTGGAATGATCCTGCTTTCAGCCGATAAATTGGAACTCGATTTTCGCAAAGTTTAGAGGACACCTGCTATGCTACTTTGATGCTTAGATATATAGCCTGTTTGTTTGTGGGAGCAGATCCCTCTCTCAACGTGGGGCTCCCTGGGGTTTCTCACTTTTCTCTCACTAGGTTTTGGCTCCTATGTGTGTGTTATTATTGCATTTCTTGTGTTCAAATCTAATCAATCTAATTTCCTGATCCATTGTTGCTGAATCAACAGGTTTGTAAAGTCCTCCAAGACGACTGTTGTTGTGGAAAGAAACCACAAATAACACAAGTTGACAGCCAAAAAATGGTCAGGGGTTTCTCAACTGATTTAGACTAATTTTGGAGTTCTGAGTCCGAATATCACATGCATTTTGCTCTATAATAACTTTTTGAGATACAGCCATAGTGTTACGGATTATGTACGTCTACGTTATTATGAATTCTGCTTATCAAATTTGACGGAGTAAATAAAAACTGGATATGTTGACTTTTATTTCTTGAGGAAAACGGAAAAAACGTCAAGGGTTTCTCAGCTGATGATCCGCATAATTTTGTTTTTTACGCAAAATCGATTAAAAAAAATATTTCTGTAGCAAAAAATCCTGACCTGATTGAGCAAAACCAAGGTCATTTTCAGACTCAGAGCATCAAAATTAGTCTAATTCAGCTGGAAAACCCTGGACTATTTTCAAAAAATATTTTTTTTTTACCCAATGATGAATTGTGAAAATCAGCACAGAATCTAAAATTTGATATAAAATATTCCCCTAAATTATCATTTACTGTACATACAGATGTGAAAAATGGAGAACCAACCCTTCACTTGGCCAATCAGCTCACAACCCAAAATGACAACAGCCCGTTGTGGTTTGGTTTTTTCACAACACTTTTACAAAACTTTTCCTGTTGGGATAAAAATAATGTCTTATTCACGAAGAAATAAGTACCCCAGCTTTAAGTGTGTCAAGTATTTGGGTACTGTGCTAGTCCACTTAGGTTTTTTTAATATAATACAACATCTGACAATCAAAGTGTGAGCAATTTTCCATTCAATCATTCAATCCATCTTAACAAACTTTCCAAAGTAGTTATTTTCCATTAGACAATTATAATCCTTTATCAACCTTTAGTGCAGCGGGCTTCATTGGATTAAAATAAATCACTTCTCTGTCTTTGATCTGCGCCACTCCGTTCCTCTGACTGTGGAGGTAAAAATCCATGCTAAATCCAATCGTAGTTATGCACACTTTTCTTCCTCCAGCCCGGTGATTAACTGTACTTTGAGATGAAATAGAAGTCGTTCTCTCAGGCAGCAGCATAATATTTGCAATAATGTCTCATTTAATATAGTTGCATAATAAGGAACTTCGTGTTAATGGTTATAAGGAGCCGCTGCCAAGAAATTAGTAATGTAAGAGCTGCCGGCTAGAAAATGAATTGCGTGTGATCACTTATATAGCCTTCAAATTCTCAAGTTTAAAATTGTGGGAATATAAATGACTAGAACTGGACTGAAGAAGGAGTCAGGATGGATTGAGCCGCTCACTGGATTCTTAACATTGTGATGTGAGTGAAAAAGGCATCTAATTTCAAGACGTGGAGTAAAAAATGAGTGTTGAAATTAACCATGGTACCTCTTGCATGTTTACCTAAATGTCTTCATGTAAATTATAATACTATTAGAACATGCACTCGGAGAGCACATACCTTGTCAAAAGCACAGATTGCCCTTGAATTTGGATGGGGTCTTCCTATCATTGCATCCCATCTACACATCAAATTCAAGATCATTCTGCCCGGTCTTACCAACAAACGAACACCCAGACAGAAATTATGTGATTACCTATTGGCAGGGTAACACATCTATTAAAATAAATTATTTAAAAGCCCTACCACACTTCCTCTGTTCAAACATTGTACTGAATTTGGGTAGCCACATTATTTCAAAATGTACAAACAACAGGCGTAGAGGTTCATTAAAGCCGTTCATTGCTGCTTGCAGGTGTAGTTGGCTTCTCATGTGATGGATAGAAGTTTCTGGGTTCGGCCCTGGTGTTGTCCAGGTGTTGTTCAGTGTTCTATAGTCCATCCATCCATTTTCTACCCTTTAATCCATTTCTGGGTCAGGGGGGTGGCAATCAGAGATGCCACCCAAGTCTCATAGCACCAGCCCCTCACTGACCCTCTGCAGGTGGTGAGTCCACAGGAGGACGGCTGCTCTCTGACTGTGAGCATAGCCTTGATCTTTCAGTGGGGGCTTTGGGCAAAGTGGGGTTAAGTGTCTTGCCCAAGGACACAACGACAGCAGTCATCAGTGGGAGTCGGTGGAGTGGTGGGAATTGAACCCACGACCTTCTGGCCTTGGAGGTAGGTGATCTACAGTGTGTCTGTTTACAACACAAATCAAAAAGTTATTGGAGAACTTGGGCGAAATGTTGTTAAAGAAGTGGAAATGCACTCTTTTGCTTTTCTAGATTAATAATAAATTCCTCAAGGAATTATCCATCGCTCTGTACAAACTAAGGTGTATCATGTTTATTTAAAATCCATCAGTCCCAAGTTCATTTGAGCATTTATTATGTTGTTTCAATTGGAAAATTAAAAACATGTTTATTTGACAAGTGGCTATGAGTTTATTTGACAAGTGGCTGTACTTCACACAGCCACTAAAAAGGGAGAAAGTTCAGGTTATCATGGATTATCTCCAAAAAATGAAAAAAAAAAAAAAAAAAAAACGCATTTCAAACACAACTGTACTTGACACATAGTTCACTCTCTTGAACGTCTTCCGGCACACTAAGCCCACCTCAAGTCATTTTCTCGACACAAACCACTGCAAATAGTTCCAATGTTTTGCCACTTTTTGAATAGGCGCTAATATTAGTCTTAAAAAATCCCTCCCCGAATGCCTCGTCTCTTCTCGGGCCTTGAAGCTGCAGCCACATCTAAGTGCTTTTGAAACGGCGGCATAAGGGAGCGGCGGCTTTTGCAAATGAGACGCCACTATCCATCCCCCCGTGTTCCCCTGCCCCCCTCCCCATCAGTCCTCCGCTGAATACCAGCCTTTGAAGATCATTGGCAAGTGAAAAAGCCATTTTTGTCAGCTCTTGTTGACGGAGCTATAGGCACGCAC